GACCCTCCACCCTGTAATCGTAGTATACTAGGAGTATGAGACAACCCGAACATCAGCAACTTTATTCCTTATAGTCACCATTACTCGGTGGGGGGTCCACCTAAGGTATAGCGATTCCGTTTACTGCTCCTCCTCCATTGTTTCTCTTCCCACTGCCTAAACCCAACCCTAAACCATAAACCCTAAACCCTAAACCCTTAACCATCTTAGCTTCACATGTAACTTCGCCTATAACACTGTAGCTAGGTTGCGCTCGCTTGGGTGAGCTTCGGGGGTGGCGAAGGCTCCGGCGTAGTAGGTGCATGGTGGTCTTGCGAGCTCCTTTCGTGTCTTGTTTTGCAGAAGTACAACCCCAAACCCCAAACCCTAAACCCTAAACCTTAAACCCTAAACCTTAAACCCTAAACCTTAAACCCTAAACCTTAAACCCTAAACCCATAGATTCCTAAGATCCCTAAGAACCTCCCATTTTGAAGACCTCCCCTCAAAAAGGTTAGGGTTAGGGGTCAGCACCCAAAAGCGCTTACCGCAAAACGTAAGGATCCTACATGGATGGTGTAAGGTCCCCAAGAAGGGGTACTCCACAGGGTTTAGGGTTTAGGGTTCTTGGGATCTTTGGAGGATCCATGCTTATGCCACTATAGCCCTCCAAGGGATGAGATAGTATTTTATTTGGGGATATTATGGTACCCATCGTAGAGTAAGATTCTATCCTCCTTTGTGGGACGTTGTCTTACTAGGTCTAACCACCAAAAAAGCACTACTCGGATGAGTTGTGTTTGAAGGCTGTCTATATTTGTTTTCAGCTGCCGGGAGTAGGCAGGCAATTACGGGACTGAAGGGCAACACCCTAAACCCTAAAACCCTAAACCCTAAACCCTAAACCCTTAACCCTGAGCAAAGAAGATGGGAAGGACTAAGTTCTAGGGGCTAGGTGAGGACATGAACACCGTTTCAGCCTGGCTGCAACATACAGGGTTTAGGGCTTAGGGTTTAGGGTTTAGGATTTAGGGCTGAAAGTCAGTTTGGCTCTAGCGTGCGATCATATTTCCTGACGAAACTACTTTGTTCTATGCCGTGAGTAGGGAAAAGCTGGGGAAGCAGCCTGCCGGGAACTGACAAATTTGTTACAATTGTTTTGGGGTCTGTATTTGTTTGGAGAAGTTGCACAAGCTGTATTATTTACGATGTGCCTTCAAATCTACAGCCAACACGTAACAACCTATGCTCAAAACCCTGCAGATATTATTGCCAGTCCATTCCAAATACTTAGACACAGCATCGGGGTTCTGGGTAGCCTAGGTTAGGTGGACCCCGCACCCAGTAATAGTGACTATAGGGGATCATAGGGATTGTATGACGGTCTTCTTCTATTCCTATTATACCACTATTACAGGGTGGGGGGGTCCTCCTAAAGTCTAGGTTTTACATGCCGTCGCAAGTGCGTGCAAAAATCCCGCTGGTCTGCTCATTGCTTTTAGGTCTAGGGAGTCTAGGGTTGGGGTTTTGGAGCTCTGGTTTAGGGTTTCGGGTTTTGTGGTCTAAGGTTTAGGGGTTCAGGATTTCAGGGTTTGAGCTAAGGTTTTGGGGCTTAGGGGTGACGTCTGGGGCCCTATGACGCTTTTGGGGAGAGAGATCCCTGAACCCGCACCCTGCATCATGCAAACCTTGAAGCCCTAAACCCTAAAGCCTAAACCCTAGACCCTAAACTCTAAACCCTAAACTCTAAACCCTAAACCCCAGACCCTAAACTAGTGGCTTGTGCTTCGCATCCCAAAGCTAAATCCTAAATCCTAAACCCCCAAGCCTAAACCCCAAACCCAAAGCCCTAACCCCCAACCCTAAACCCTCAACCCTAGGGTTTAGGGTTTAAGGGTTTTGGGTTTAGGGTTTAACGAGTATTCAGGGAACACTCAAAGTCCTCCCACACGCTTAGGGGATGTGGGGATTTGAAGTGAGAGGTTCTTCCTTAAAGGGACTTGGGGTCAAGGGGGTTTAGAGGGATCTGGCATTTCGCCCCGCAGTGAGAGGGATGTTTGAAGAAAAGAACACCAAGGAAACCCTAAACCCTATAGTACTTTCCATTTTCCATTATCCCTATATAACCCCAGTACCCTACTCGTTCTGGAGAACCTCCCCCTAAATTCTAAACCTTAAAATCTAAACTGTAACCCTCATGCCGACGTCTTGCAGAAGCTTTTACCTCCCTATCCTCAACTGGTTTTCTTGTGCAATATTCATTAGGGGTTTAGGGTGTAGGGGCTTAGGGTTCAAGGTTTAGGGATGCAGCTATAAGAAAAGCTCCTATGCATTACCCAGCCCGAAACACTCAAACCCACGTTCCTTCGCAACTGCTCATCGGACGCCTCAGCGATTTTTTGGGACGCTTGGGACGCTTCAACACCACCATCTTTGGACGCAGGCAGGGCTTAGGGTTGAGGGTTTAGGGTTTAGGGACCCCTAAACCCTGAACCCTAAACCTCTAAACCCTAAACCCTTAAAACCTTAAACCCTAAACCCTAAAGATCAGGCTGTTGGGGTTGAAGGTTCAGGTTAGCGGGCCCTACCGCCTACATGCTCTACCTGGGCTAACATGGTTTTTGCAGAGCAGATTACGGTTGAATGCTGTCATAAGAGGGTTCATATGCTAGTTTCCTAAAATAAGGGGACCCCAATATAGACCCCAAGAAATTATAATCCCTATTACAGGAACCCCCAAATAAGGTACCCCTAATTTTGGGAAACCTTCATATAGCGCTTAATGAGTCATTGACGCAGCGGCTTTGGTTCTCCCTGTTGGGGATATATTCGGGCTTTATTGGGATCCATACGGGTAATACTAATGGAGAATCAAATGGAAAATAAAAATGGCAATGACATGGAAACTGCTATTCAGGGTTTAGGGTGTATGTAGGATTTCTGAGAGCGTGCTTGTTTCTATCTCACGCGATGCCCACTTGTGTCTTTGGATGCATGTTCTTTTGGGATTACTGTTCTTTCTTGTCCCCTTTTCGTAGGGTGGAGGAACAGCGGCGGTTTCTCAGGATTGTGACATCAACCTCCGCCCGGAAATTTGGTTAGAATTCCTCACCAGCAACCTTGAATGATTGTGTTGCAGCACCTTGCAGTCTATGGTATGCAAACAGGCAGCCGGTTGGGAAACTTATCCATGTGGCTCCCACATGGTTCAGGGGTTCAGGCTTTCGACCCTCGAGATTCTGTCTTCGTTGCTTTTGGGGGCCATGCAAAATCAAAGACCCTAAGCCCTAAGCCTTAAACCCTAAACCCTAAACCCTTAACCCCTGAACCCTAAACCCTAGCGGCTCTGAATTCGGAGCCCGGGCCCAAGCATCCACATTAAACCCTGAACCGCAAGGCCTTCAGAAGAACCCAGGGGAGCTGTAGTCTACAACCCTTTAGGGTGTAGAGCCCTTACAGGGGGTTATATAGAGGATTATACAGGGGACTATAACAGGGGTTATTAAGGGGGTTACCAGGAGTTTAGACTATAGTTCATTTAATCCCTCTAGGCCCTTAAACCCCTAAACCCTAAACCACATCTTTCACATAAAAAAGAGCACATGCAGGCCATGGAGTCCTTGCCGACAGCATGTCCCTTTGGGGCAGACCGACAGTTCGGGGCCCGGGTGTTTGGGGCCTACGATGTGGGGTTTAGGATTTAGGGTTTAGGGTTTAGGATTCAGGGTTTAGGGTTTAGGGTTTAGGATTTAGGATTCAGAAGTATTTCACGACTATGCCTTTCAGGAGTTTGGTAGCATGGTCTCGTATACTATTGTCAGTGAGTACGCTGACGATAAGCTTCAGAGCCTTTAACCCTAAACCCTAAACCCTAGTATGCTTGGTTCTGCTCCATGAGGCACGGGTGCTCATGCAGCGGCTTGCTACCCAGGCGGTATCATCCCAAGCCTGTTGCAAAAGGATTTAGGATTTTTAGGGTTTAGGGTTTACGATTTAGGGTTCAGGATTTAGGGTTCAGGATTTAGGGTTCAGGATTTAGGGTTTAGGGTTTAGGAGGGGTTTAGTTAGGGAAGGCCCAAGCAGTATAGTTCTCGTGTTGACTAATCTGCCTGCTTTTAGGCTGTTCCGAGTTTGTGGTGTTTGGAGTTCAGAAGAATGTCGAGCAGGACTACAAGGACTATGAAAGTCTGTTTGGGGGTCAGGATATGTGGTTTCTCCGTAGGAGCAGAGGGTGCTGCACGCCCGGAATTCCATAAGTTTCATGAATTTGCCCCTGAGCTAAAATACAATTTGGATTGCAGTATTTTGGATTCTGTATTGTGAGTATACAGTGTAAAAAACTTTCTTGAGATTCCATGAGTCAAGGGAGAGCCTTCCAAGTCTTTACAAAAACCCCAAAGCCCCAGAACCCTAAACCCTAA